TGCAACATTTCCCAGAATGCCTTTTAATAACACCACACATAATACATTTAGGCTGTGCTCTGTATTGTTTCAGCTAGAAGTCCAAAACTCTGAAAGACATACAATTTGTTTGTGGCAGCTGGCTCAAAAGTGAAAGAAAAAAAAACAAACACACACACACAATCATTTATTCTCCAAAGTAAAATAACAATCTCCCTGTCTGGACTCTGGTTCCAGCAGTGGAAGTAGTTCATCTTTGGCTGGACACCTGACCCTCGAACATCCAGCGGGACACAAAAGCCTCAGGAGTGAGACTTTTGATATTGTTGAGGTGACCCCGGTGTCACCGGCTGCACAGGCTCATATTTGCATTTGAAAGTTGCCTTTTCGGCAGAGGAAACGCTTCCTGAATCTGTCTGTCTGTTGTCTAACTTTTTTTTAAAAAAAGGCCTTTGACTGACCAAAACCCTCTGAGACCCCGGTGAGCTTTGTGTAGCCCAGCCTGGAGGTGTCTGCTTTCATAAATGGAAACATTACCTGAGGAGCGCAGGAGTGGCAGAATGGAGGAATGTTTTAGGGTGAAACATTAAAAGGTGATTTATCATTTTTCTTTTGTGATTAGTCCTTTTAATGACGTGAACATACCCACTTTAACAGCTCCTCATCTTTACAAACAAGCAAACTGAAGCATCTGAAGCAAGAAAGGCTTTTTGCTTCATCCCTCTCACATTCACTCGCTCACACACACGCACAGACATGCACTATATTGGAAACCTGGCGCCTGCTTTGTCCCCTGTAGACTTCTCATTAAAGGTCCAATGAACTGACCTACTGTTTCTGTATAAACCTAAAAGAAAATGGCTGCTGTGTGGTCTTTCTTATTACTTTTTGATTATTTTTGACCAAACAAGGCTAGTTAAACACCCTCTGATGTTATTAAACATGTTAATGTTCATTACTTTGAATGCTGTTTTCAAATGGTATTTCCCACCAGATTCTCCTGCGAAACAGAACCAGTTTGAAATCTTTAAATGACTGTATATATAAGTAGTCTAAACCACTGCACAAGTTTAGTTTCAGACAATTTATTTCTGCTCTTGGCTCTGTGTGATGTCAGAGCTCTGGCTGTGATCACAAAAGCCTCATTGGCTCAAACTGTCTGTTTAATATGAGTAACCAATCAGGGGAAAAAAGCTGGGTTAAAGGAAGGGGGAGGAGCCAAAATCCTTGTTTCAGACAGTAGATGAAGTACAGAAATTGGTATCATGCAAAGTTGCTCTAGTAGAGTGAAAGAAAAGAAACAAAGAGGAGAAATTTGTCATAAAATATCCTATTTAAGCAGAAATCTTTGGTGTGAACATGTGCTTGGTTTTTGGAGTTGGCAGTGATGGTAAACTGAAAATCTTTCGTTTTTTTTTTAAATACTAATCAGACAATTTTAAATATATTTTACACAGTCACTAGTGAATAATCATGGGGAATTAAAACACCTGTTAAAAAAACAATAGCTTAATTAATCAATTGATATAAAGAATGACAGGAATATAATTTTTTATTATTATTCCTTTAGTCATTGAAGTATTGTACACACTTAAAACCTATCCAACAATGGTGATAAAGGGAAATGTAACCTTCTAGAAATAAACAAGAAATTTAAAGTTAACTTAATGCAGAGGGAGAGCTGAATGTGTTTTACAATATGAAGTAAAAACTGAAAGTGAGCACACAATAATTTCTTTCCCCATTTCTTGGATATAGCTCACAAAAGAAACACTTCTCTTTGAATTACAGTAGGATTAAACAGCATGACATCATGAAGGTAAGAGTTATTGCACGATTGTTGTATCAGTTTCAGCCTGGTGTACAACTGACCAGCTAACAGGCTCATCTCCACCTATAAGACTACACCAAATCACATTTTGTCATGAAGCAAAGTGCCAAAACAAGGCAGAAAAGTAATAAACTCAATGCAAACATGGATACAATTTACATCTCTAATGTACCTCCCATCCTTGTGAGACACAGCAGACAGAATCTACAAATACAAAAGATGATCGAAAACAAAATCAGGCACAAAAACAAAATGTTTGTAAATAATTCTTTATCCTTGCACTCATAAGAACAACCAGAACACACAAGGAAGCCACACAAGGACAAACAACAAAAGAAACTATTTTGTTTGATTTAGATTCTCTACTTTCTATTTGCTCAAGGGTCTATTACGTCAAGATTACTGACTGACTGATGACTGATTACAAACAATTAGTAATCATTAGCAAGTGCATTTAGAATCAAACGCAGGTTCATATTCAGACCACAGACAGCATATCACACCTTGAAGAAAGGTTTTAATATTTACACATTAGGGAATTCAAAAATGCATAATTATATACACATTTTCTTTAGAAATAATAAAACACTAGGAAAGATTTGAAGCATCTGAGAGTATGTATAAAGAGTGCTGCTGCTTTAACCCCCCAATCTAAAGCATCTTCTGTGGGTTTGTTTTTCTTACAGTGCAGACCACAAAAAGGGCACACAGTTAGCCAAAATGGATATGTTATACTGTTGAATAAAAACCTTTTCCAAGCTGGACTGGAATCAAAACGATCTCCCATCTTTGTTCCCACAAAACCTTTTACATGTTTTAACGCTTAAGATGATGAAAGTCTCAAATCAAATAGCAGATTTAACACTCCTTCCTCACTGTGTCCAATGTGTGTGTGTATTTGTGTGGGATCTCTGTGATCCTTGTATAAAGAGTCCTGCACACTGCTAGGTGTGCTGCGTTATCTAGGCCTGTGGTTGGCAAGAAGCAAGTCCTTGTCTTTGCAGGTGAGGCAGAGTTTGAGGTTCTTGAGCGAGCCGCCGGCGGAGTAGAACGCCCAGACACCCATTAGGAACAGGATGACGTAGGTGGGAACAAGGCTTGCGACGTACTCGGGGTTCTGGAAGGTCTGCGGTAGAAGACGAGATAAAAAACATCAGTGGACACTGTTTAATATTTTATCTCAATTCTTTAAAGTAACTAATTGCAGGCATATAAAGAGAGAGCAAGAGAGACTTTCATTACAAATCTGAGTCGCCAAGTTGATGTTGTTAAATGGCCGTTTGTCCGAGCACCGTCGTGTGCCCCGAAAACATGACTCTTATTTACTATAATATAGTATAATAAAGTAAAAAGAGAAGATGTATGAGGCTTGAGAGGTTGGATTTAAAAAAAAAAGAAAACTGACTGGGACATTTAAGACATAAAAATACTTTCCTTGCATAGTTTTTGACTGTGAGCTCTTGTTAGTGTTTTTTCCTGCCTTCACAAAGACTCAAGTCCACATTCTGTACAAACCACACTCACCAGACAGGAGACCAAGAGGTGACTGATGACAACGGCTCCCACCGCCCACCAGCGCTGCTTCTCACAGGCATCAAAGAAAACAACGCCCCAAAACATGTGAAGCAGAATGATGGCCATCGTCATAAAGGCTGAAAGAGAAGTGCAATTTTAACAAATTATGTTCTACATATAAATCTATGTATAGTTGTATATGTATGTATAATATAGTTACACTTTTAACGGCGATTAGTTTTAATGCAACATTTCCCAGAATGCCTTTTAATAACACCACACATAATACATTTAGGCTGTGCTCTGTATTGTTTCAGCTAGAAGTCCA